CTAAAGAGTCTTCCCTTTGTAGTAGGGAATAATTAGCCTAATATTGAGCACTGTTTTTTTTTCCCATTTAACTAATTTTAAAAGCAAGATCCAGAGAACCAAAGTATTATCTTGCAACTTAACTATGTCCAGAAAAAGCTTAAGAATATTTATAGGATGCCAAATATCTAGCAACCAAAAAAGTAATATTTGCAATGTCTGGCATCTGATCTAAAATTACCAGGCATGTGATGTAGCAGAAAAATGTGACACATAATGAGTAAAAAAACTATCGATCAAAACTGACCAAGAACACACACAAATGTTGTAATTGGCAGCCAAGGACATCAAAAGAGTTATTATAAGTATTGGATATGTTTAAAAAGTTACATAGAGATACAGAGGATGCAAAGACTCAATTTTAATTTCCTGAGATAGAAAATAAAATATCTAATATGAAAACCACAGTGTCTTGCATTTATAGCATATTAGACATTATCAAAAAAAAAAGATTAGTGAATTTAAATACATAGCAATAGAAATAATCCAAAGTGAAATATAAAGAAAGAGAGAGACAAACAAACAAACAATAAACAAACAAAAAAGCAAAAACCCCAGAGCACCAAGATCTGTAGAACAACTTCAGGAAGCCAAGAGGCCTAACACATGTATGAGTAAAGTGTTCAAATGGGGCAGAAAAATGCTAAAGAAATAATGGTCAAAACCTTTCCAAATTTGAAAGAAAACTATATACTCAGTTCCAAGTAGCTCAACAAACCCTAAGCAGCAAAACATACAGAAAACTATACCATGTCATATCATCATCAAACTGTACAAAAGAAAAGACAAAATCTTAAAATCATTTGGGGAAGGGGAGACAAATTATGCACAGAGGAACAAAAACGAGGACAATAGGAGATTTCTGATAGAAAACAATGTAAACACAAAGAAAATGGAGCAATAAATTTAAAGTTTTAGAAAATGACAAAATAATAAGATCATCTCAATAGATGTAGAAAAATAATGTGAACTCTAATATCTATTTCTGATTAAAATTCTCAGCATATTTAGAATAGAAGATGTCTTTTACTGGGCAAATGGCATCTGCAGTATAGCTACACCTAGTACCACAATCGAGTAAGGAATATTTTCCACTAAAGACTGGGAACAACGTCAAGGTGTCTGCTCTTATCACTCTCATTTGATATCATGCTGGAAATCTCAGCCAGTGCTAGGAAGCAATCAAAATTCTATCTGGTGTTCTCTGTTTGTTGTTTTTGTAATAAAATGATAAACTGGTTCTAAAATTAATATGAAAATAATTGAAAGGTTCTAAAATAGAAAAAAAAACTTTAAAAGAAAAAGAAAATTGGAACACTATCAATACCTTATTTCAGGGCTTATTTTAAAGTTATAGTAATCAAGACTTTGTGGTATTGGAATACAGATAAGTAAATCAATAGAA